TTTTTTTTTTTTTTTAAAGTTCTTTACAAGTTTGGATTTACAAAAAGAATTACAGCCTATCAGACTGTATTAAAAACCAAAGAGCTAAGAATTAATTTTTGGAATCACGAAATAATCAAAACTCAGCCTCCCCTCTTCTTTCTTTGTGATTGCTTATACTTTCTTCCTCTATCATAGTGTCCTTCCAGACATTATCACATGTCCAAATCCAACTCAGACTTTAAGGTCCAGATGAAACGCACCTCAGTCCAAACAGCTTTTCTAAATTTTTTGGCTGAAGTGATCACTGCCTTCTTATAACACCCAAAACACTTGATCTGTACTTCTTATGTGTTGACTTCAAATTTGAGTAAAGCAGCTGGATGGGACTTAAACAATGACAGAACCTTGAGGATGGGCTTGGAGAGCAACTTTTTCATAGCCCAGCCAAGGACTGCTAGGTGACAACTATAGAGAGACCCACCCCATGGGAGCAGCCACAGCTTGGCTCCTCAGCACTCAGGTGAGTAGGCAGTGTCAGAGCCTTGAAAAGGGCTTTTGTTCTGAGGATTACTGGCCTCCCATCAGCGTTTTCAGTCAGTCATGCATGCTTCCACAGAGAACAGTCCAATCAGCACCTCATTTCTTCATCGGAAAGGAAATAATAGATCGGAGCGTGATGAGGTGGGGTTCAGCTTCATGGATCCTGTGTTGTAAGAATCTGCATTTCTAGATTCTATACAGAAGATTCTCTGCTGAGAAGTAGATACTCTTTAGTGGATACTCTTTAGGGCATTCTATACAGGAGATTCTTTGCTGAGAAGCAGATACTCTTTAGTGGCTGAACTGCTGCTAATTTGGACAGGAAGCTGAGTCAGCTTGTGAGTCAGTCTCTGTGGTGGGGATTGTGGAGATTCATACACTAGAGTCCAAGGAGAGATGGAAGAAGCTAGAAAAGGCCACTGCATAAGGAAGACTCAGCCACAGGGGACCTAAAACCAGCTAAGGAAAAGGAGTTGTCAGGCCAGAGATGTGGTTTCTGCTGCCTGACACAGGTAAACGAATATACTGTGTGGGTCTACTCATGCATGAATTTTTTTTTCAATAAATATACAGTTGACCCTCCATATCCTCAGGTTCACATCCATGGATTCAACCACCCATGGACCAAAAGCAGCGTTGTCAATCTGCAGTTGGGAATCTGTGGAATGTACAGGGCCAACTGTATGTATTGTTCTGCAGCATTATGTAGGGGACTTTGCATCCAAGGATTTGGTGTCCATGGGGGTCCTGTGACCAGTCTTGAACACTGAGGGATGACTAGGGAGTCAAAAGTTATATGCAGGTTTTCAACTTGAGGGGAGGGGAGCCCCTAAGGCCCCACATTGTTCTAGGGTCAACTGTACATACCAAAAATAGCCCAAGTGTACCCTGTTTGGAGTGCAACAGGCCACTTCTCATGCAGAAGTTCTGCCCTGGTCTTAGTTAATCCTGATATTTAAAAACCCAGTAGTGACAGGATCAGTATTTCTCTATATTATAAATATTTCTCTCTATAAGGTATATATGTGACTGTCAACATTTCTCAAATTGACCGAGTCATAAAAGTTATCTGGTGAGCTTTTAAAAAAATATAAATTCCCCCCCCTCCAAAAAAAACCCAAACAAACAAATTTCCAGGCTCTGCGTCAGACCTGCTGAATTAGAATCATCAGAGAAATGGCTGGCTGAGAATTCAGAAAATTTTCCAAGCGCCCTAGGCAATTCTTACAATCAGGCCTGTTTGGAATGCCGTATTGTGGATGGGAGGCCTCAGAGCTGGGAATCAGGTCTGAGTTTGAGTTTGAGCTTTAATGCCCTTTCACTGAGAGGTCTTACATGAGCAACATAACTTCTCTGAACCTCAGTTTCCTCAAATGAAGAAGAGCTTCCCTTTCCTTCGTACCTCACTAATTGTGAGGATCAAATGCCTTCATGTGTGTGAAAGTATACAGTAAGTTCAACCCGTTTTCCCCAAACTGTCCATAAAATAAATCACTCATCTACTACAAAAGTTTCCATTGATTTGCTGCATATCTTGGAAAAAGTATTCATACCATTATTTTTAATGGCTGACTACTAACAATTTAATAGATGCGTCATGGTTTACTTAATCAATGCATATAGTGGTCACCTGGAATGTTTTCTAAATGTTTAACATAAATGCTGCCTTATACATATACTTTTGTTTACTTGTCCAAGTATTTCCTTAGGAAAAATACCTAGAAATGGAATTGCTGGGTCAAAGATTATACACATTTAAGAAAGATTTTTGTTGTATCATTTCAAGTGGTTTTCCAGAAAACTTGTACCAATTTATATTCACACCGATACCTTCCTTCTATGTGCCAGTCCTTACCCTCAAGGAAACCAAACTCTTACTCTTTGTAGTTTGGGATATTAACCCTTTGTCTACTTTATGTATTTTGAAATATTTTCCTAGCGTTTTAACCTCTCTTGCTCTCTGATTGGATTGGGTAAATCTTTGATGTTTACTTAAATTTCATAGTGTACTTCATGGTTTGAAAAGGGATTAAAAATCTGTCCTCTCACTTTGATTGAACATAAGTAGGTGGCTATGGCTATTGTTAGAACTTATAAATATGGTTACATAATTTCAGATACTCAAGTTCAATCTGGGTTGATTGGCAGGACTAGTCATTCACTTATTCATTTATTCATTCATTTCATCAATCATTTATTGTGTGTCCTAAGGGTTTCTAGGAGTTAGATAATGTATCCTTAAGTTGAATATGACTTAACTCTGAAGAAGGTGATAATTTAGTAGAGAAGACAAATCTATTATTTCAGTATAATATACGGTGTGATGTGTTAAGATATCAGAACATAGAGAATGTTCTGAGAACAGAGTAAGGAAATCTCTAATGAAATAGGATATTCAAGGAAGGCACTCGGGCCTTTTTGGATGTGTAATAGGTGCATATAGGCATGGAAGGGCATTCTATACAGAAGGAACAGTATGAGTGAAGGTGCAGAGACATGATGCACGTTGAAACATTTAGGAAATATTCAGTGTTTTTGTTTTTCTGACTCACAGAGTGTTTAAGAGTGACAGGAGGAAAGCTAGAGATGAAGTTGGCACCAGGATGAAATGGTCTCTTTATAGGTTAAGAATATTGAATTTTATCTTCAAAGCTTTAGAGGAAGTGCAAGAGGAGACAGAAGTAGAATTGCAAAGAGGACAGTGGAGACTTGACTTGCAGTGTTCTCTTTTTTTTTGAGAGATAATTTTAGAATTGCAAAATTGAGTTCCCACAGGTCCTTTAACCAGGTTTTGCTTATATTAACACCTTATCTAACCATAAAACATTTATCTAAACTAAGAATTAACCTTGGTATAATACTACTGATTAAAGAACAAATCGTTATACTATTTCACAGTTTTTCTACTGATGTTCTTTGACTGCTCCAGAATCCAATCTGGGGCCCCCTATGGTCTTCAGTCATTATATTACCCGTCTGTGATCATTCCTCAGTCTTTCCTTGTCCCTCATGACCTTGACACTTTGGAGGAATACTGGTCAATTGTGTTTTAGAGTATTCATCAGTTTGAATTTGTTGTTTTCTCACAATTAGATTGAGGTTATTCACGATTGGGAAGACTAACTCAGAAATGATGTGCCTTTCTCAGTGTATCATATCAGGGTGTCCACTGATTTTTTTATTAATATCCAGTGTTAACTTTGATCACTTGACTAAGGCAGTGCTTGCTAAGATTCTCCACCATAAACTTAATATTTTTGCCTTTGTAATTACTAATTATTTTGGGAGCGTCAACTGAAAATCTGAAAGAACAGCTTCTTGGAGATTTGGACACATCTAAGAAATATCATTGTTGTTGTTGTTATTATTATTATTGTTATTATTAATACACTGTGCTGTCTGACCTGGTAGCCTCTGTCTCATTAAAGCTCTGAGCTTTCTTGACAAACAAATCAGCAGTAATTCAGACAATATTACTCAGTGAACACTAACTCAGCCTCACCTGGTGATAGATACTGTGACATAGCCCACGTGCACTTACTTTACCCAGTCAAGTTGCCTAGATCTTTAACTCCCACCTCTCTCTCTCGTCTCTTCCACATTAAAAAAATTATAAACAAAAACATCCTTTGACCCTAGGACTATCTCTGTAACCATTACCCTTACCATATACTTCCTTCACAGTCAAGGTTCCAGAATATATAATTTACTCTCTATGTCCACTTTCTGTAATTAGCCCAGCCCATGGCATTCCGGCTTTGCTCTATTAAACAATTGACGCTAGTCTTATTAGAGTCATCACAACCTATCATTTGACACTTCAGTAATTATCTTACTTTACTTCCTGTGGCATTTGACATTGTTGACCATGCCCTCATTCCTGAAATCCTTTTGTCTTTCTTGACTACATCAAGAGTACTCTTTCAGGGTTTTCTTTCTTTCTCTCTGGTTGCTTCTCCTTTATTTTTCTGTAGCATATTTAAATCTGCCTGCTTCTGAATAATGTAAGAGTCACATCTTCAAGGATTAGAGGGAACAATAGTAAATTTACAGTGAAGAACCTGACCAACACTACCTTAACGTTGGGGTTAATATCCCTAATGATGACCTGTGATATCAGGTACCTCTGGTATGGAGATTGTGTCCAAATCTCCAAGGTACTGTGATGAGAAGTGTGCTTTCCCTTTGTGATATTCTTTCAAAAACCCCATAACCCAAATAAGAGGGGTTGACCAAGATCGTGACATGGGAGGCTCCTGAGCTCCCCTCCTCCCACAGACACCGAATGTTCAGCTACACATGGAGCTACACATGGATCTCTGGAAGAGATCCAGACACTAGCTGAATGACTCCTACACACCAGACAAATGAGAAAATATCCATATCAGAACAGGTAGGAAAGGCTGAGACATGCTATAAACCCCACCCCTGACACAGCACTATACATTTGGGAGGGAGTCCCCAACTCTTAGCTTTTACTTGAGGAGCACATTTACCAAAATAACATTTATGACTTTCCCCAGAAGTACGGCTCCCAAAACACCTAGCTCTGAAAGGTTAGGGCTTGTGTTCCCAAGACCCACAAGACTATTGCAAGTCAAGAAGTAATTCTTAATGAGTCAGTCACACTCCCCAAGGCTGTCCCCCTCGGGCTCAGTGCAGGGGGAACATACAAAATTGCCCTTCTCTAAGTCTTCCCCTGAAAGAGGTCTATCTGCATTCTTTAAAAGTTTCTTCCTAATGGCCAGCCTTCTAATTAAATAGGCCCTAGGGCCAGTTTGTGATCCTCCCTAGAGACCAGGAAAGCTGGAGGACATCTCTCCCACCTGCTTCTTCCAATCTGCTCCAAATCACCAGTTTCTCCTTAGAGGGAGCTTATACACAAGTCTGTGCCCCAGCTTTTATGGTTGCTGTGGAAAAGACAGGCTGGATTACCTACCTACCTCTGATAGCCAAAGGGGCTTCCATTCACAGGTTGGAAGTAAATGAAAGGAGATAAATGTAATTATTAGGAAAATTTTGGGGATGTCTGTGGTAAGACTAACTGGTAGGTGATGTATGCTGCATAGGTGTGTTCGATAGGCTTAACAGGTCAGATGTAAATGATGGTTTTCAGTTTTTAAAGCATATTTTGCATATGTGATCATTTCTTCAGTTAATCCTTGCAGCAAGTCTTTGAGGTATTACACAGTATTTCCATTTTACACATGAGCAAGATGAGGTAAAACAGCTTGTGTTAGGTCACACCAAAGGCCAGAGTCTTTGCTCAAAATGTTGTTATTTTCAGCAGTGCTGATTATTGTAATTTTTGTTTGTTTTGCTAAAAATCAACCCTCTCTAACTTGTATAAAGGATATTTATCTTTTCACTCTTTGAAGTGTTGTGACTTCTTTTAATTTTTAAGGTTTGTTTGACCTTGTAGGTTGAATAAACAAAGATGTGTGGAAAAAAGATACTGTTGGGTTCTGGGTCTTAATTTGTGCCTTGGTGATGCAGTGCTGGTTAGGACTTGATTGAGTAATCAAATTTCCTAAGAGTTCCAAGAGACTTGCAAGAAAATATGGAGAAGTGGGTATCCATTTTGGTTGAGGCTCATACTATATCTTGGACTTGTTGAAATGTCTCTTGAAAATTTCACATAGTCCAAATGACAAAGCTCTTTTATATACTTTAGAACTCTTAGCTTCTTCAGGTACTATATTTCTTCATAAACAAGGTGCTGTTTTAGAACTTTTGAGCGTATTAAATCCATTATAAATTTTTCTGATAAAAGTTTTTAGTTCTTTTTTTATAATTTAGTTAACTAATACAGTACAATTTAATAGCCTAAGTTCTACAGTGTAAGTCTATGCAATTTTTTCCCCTTTTCTGGATCAGAAAAATGTTGTTTTGGTAGACTTTACCACTGCAGCTATTTTTGGTCTCTTGTGTGTAACAGCTAAATATGCAGTAATGGTCTCTGTTCCCAGGCCAATTTGAGAGATAAAGCACACAGAAAAAAAAATACAAAACAGTATATGTTACATGTCCAATGACAGGCAGTGCTAGCAAGAACTACTGAAATTTAGAGAAGAGAGAGCGCTGTATACGTTAAAAGTAATCAGGAGAAACATAGCAGGATACACACACACACACACACACACACACACACACACACTCTCTCTCTCTCTCTCTCTCTCTCTCTCACACACACACACACACACACACACACACACACACACACACGAAACGAATTAAGCAGAGACTTCAAGATTGAAGGGGTCATGGAAGCAGCCTAAGTGAGGATTAAGTGAGTTGGAGGAAAGAATAATTAAACTTCATACCAATGGAAAGCATGCATATCTCATGAATTTATGATCCATCTCCCAGGAAGAGGCATTCTTGAAAAAAGTTGTTCTTGTGAGGAAGTGAGAGAAAAGGGAGCCTAGATATGAGCATGTAGGGGAACATATATATAATACCGCCTGTGGGCAATCCTTTCAGATCTCTGTGGTTCCTTCCTTAGTCCTCCAGTGGATGGATAGCTATACTCTGTGTCTGTCTGTCATGGTCTCTTACACCAGATCTTCAGGAATTTTCTCCTCAGGCCTAATTGAGGGAACCCTTTTTAGATTGTGTGAGACCCAGACAGACTACCAGGAAAGATGATCTTTTTATTCAGCAGTGAGGTCCTTGCACTTATGACAATGACTTAGATAGGTGCGGTATAAATTGTTCTTTGAACCAGTAAACTAAGAGAAGATTATAGCAGTATAAATTCCTCATTTGTTTTCTGTTCATTGTTGAAGGGTGACATATTATTGCTTTACAAAAGTTGGAATGATTTTCAGAGGATCTAAAATTATCTAAACTCACAGGGACCAAGAATTATCTGATTTGTGGCCAAGCTCTAAATGAAAGTTCATCTTTAATATAAACTCAAACTGATTCTTCCCATTGGAATAGCTTTTATTCCAATTATCCAGCAATTCAGAGTCTCCTTGGAGAATAATAGCTTCTTGGCGTTTGATGTTATTTTATTTGGAAGAATCCAAAGGTTTTTATTTTCATAGTTTTATTTTAATAAATATACATTATTAAAATATTCATATTTTATTTGATAATATACATTAGGATGTTATAAGACATGCTGTTAAAATTTCCTAATTTAAATAATTAAATTAATTTAAAATTTTCTATTTAAACAATGGTCTTGAAAGGTAACCTTGACTTTGTGTCATTAAGTGAGGTTCATAGATATGCTGTTCTACCTTCACTTCAAATTAATTGAGTCAGCCAAGATTTTATGTTAGACCAGTTGGATATGAGAATTTCAAGGATATAAGCAACAAAAAGATAATAAGAGCATGCATGTCATAATAATTAAAGTTTTGAAGTAATTTTTTAGGCAACCTGCTAAACTTGTTATGAAGGTAAATTAAGTTGGGTGCATGTAGTTGCAGACTTCAGATCTCAGAACACTTGAGACATTATTTTACCAAAATTTCGAGTTAATTATTTTAGTTTTTCTCAGCCAAGTAAAATCCATATAAATTAAAGTACATTAAGTGATAGAACCATTGAAAAACACAGCACTCAAAAAATGTAAAATTAAATATAAGTATAGTTTTCACGATTTAAAAAGAATTTTAGATAAATATTGATTAGTGCACAAATGAAGAGGAAATACTTCTGGTTTCTG